TCCTGAAAAGTTTTTAAAATATATTTATGTTAATTTTAAAAGTAAGTGTTGAGCTAGTCTTGCATTCATTCCTTGGACAATTTCTACTTAATAGTGGTGCATGTTTATATATTTATATTCCAGTTGCTTAAAAATTACTACTTTTAAACCCAAATCCATGTGGCTATTGCTGTGTTTGATTTTGTTTTTCTTGTGATGGCAATTCTGGCCTTGTAAAGCAACCGAGAAGTGTCCCCTTGGCTTCTCTTGTGCCCCTTGTGTCACAGTAGCTTTATTTCTTATTTAAATTTTGGAAGAATTCTGCAGTGAGGCTAGCTGGTGTTCTTGGTAGAAAAACCCAAGTTTAACTATAGGAAGAGCGTGCCTTTGTGATCTGTCGGCATGTGTGTGACATGGAGAAGGAAGGAGATTGCAATGTTTCCAGTGCACAGCCTCACTGCTGTTTCGTCAGCTTTGATGAAGATGGAAAAAGCGACAATGACATCAATAGAATGAACGTTTGTAGCCACCAGTACAATATTTCTTCTTCTTTCTTTTTTTTGTGTGAGGGTATCTGATCCCCTGGAACTGGAGTTGCAGACAGTTGTAAGCTGCTGAGTGTGTGCTAGGAATTGAACAAGAGTCCTCCTTTTTTTTGAGGCGTATTTGTACATCTTTATGAAGTATATTATTCAATACATACATAGAATGTAATGATCAAGTTGAGACAGTGAACATCTTCATCTCTTCAGTCATTAATTGTGGCATATTGGAATTTTCATATTTTCTAGTCATTTTTAATATAGCAGATCGTAGGGAAAGGGCTTCCTTTTGTTGTTATTTGTTGTTTTGGTTTTGAGATACAATCTCATTGGGTGGGCCTAGTTAGAATAGAACTCTCTGTAGACCAGGCTGGCCTTGAATTTGCAGCGATCCTCCTGCCTTAGCCTCTGGAGTGCTGGGATTGCAGGCATGAGCCGGTGTGCCCAGCTTTTCATGTTTTCAGAGTATATCCTTCGGCTCCCTGCTCCTCTGGTCTCACCCTCTCGTGGCCATACTGAAGATGCCTGAGGACAATGTCTTTGCCTCCACTGCATCCTTTGGGCGTGAACTTAGCAAAACACTGGAGCGGGGAGGAAGCGGAGGGGATCCACATCACTATGGGTCCTTGCTAACTTTCACGTTGTCCATGTTGGCTGTGTAGACAAAGTGAAATGACTGCTTACCTCCTGAGCTCACATGTTTTGCTCTATGAGGACTGACTTCCCCTAGAAATCCAGCTTATTCTAGAAAAACCCCAGGAGGTTGATCAAGTCCTTTCTTAAAACCCACACTATTAAGTTTGGCATGGTGTTGTACAAGCCTGTAAACCCAGCGAAGACTCCAGAGTCTTCTGGAGGATCACGAGTCCAGGCCAGCCTGAACTACCTAGCAAGATTCCAGAGCAACTGTGGGTTGCACAGTGAGACTCTCATTCATAAAAACATACCCCAAACCATTACAAACCACCATGCTGTTTAATACTTAATTCACATGGATTCTGTGCACACCCCTTTTTAGACAGGTCTCACTATGTAGTCCTTGCTAGCCTTGAAGTCATGAAGACCAGGCTGGCCTTAAGACTGTAGTTTCTGCCCCTGCCTACAGATTAAATCCTGAGGTTAAAGTTCTTCACCACCATGCCTCTTTTCTTATTGTCCACCACTGTGCTGAACACATAACTCAATGGGTATTTCAGCTGCAACAGAAACAATACACATCCGGGCTCTCTGTGCAGTGGTTAGAACAGCCACAAGACTTATAAAGAATTGTGAAAACTAGGGCTGGAGGGATGACTCAGCCATTAAAGGCTAGACTCACAACCAAAAATATAAGAATTGTGAAAACTAGGTCTAAGGATTCAGTAATGGGGTGTGGGGAGAGGGGGAAAGGGGAAGGCACTGGAAAATGCCCCTGAAACAGTTGATATCAGAATTTCCAAAGTGAGATTCTCCAATTACACTTAAAATGGTTTTAAACGTATGAGTTACATGAATACATGACTAAAGGCATGATAAGACTTGTTAGGGTATTAATTTGGTTCCATGGCCTTCTCCAACACGGACCCTGGAAAATGGAAAGAAAGGTGCTTTTTCCCTGTGTTTGGTTGAGAACAGTATCTGAATGGCTCTCCCCACTTTGCATGCATTTTAGGGTTGGAGGGGAGAGACACAAAGTGAGCCTGGGGCACCTTGTCCCAGAAGGCAAGCAAGCAAAACAAAACGATATAGGGTAAGAGACAGAAGCAGCTGAAAAGAACCCGATGCTGGGAGGAGTGGACAACAATAAATAATATTGTATAATAACCCAAAGAATGAGTTCATACTGATACAGTCATTAAGTAAATGAGGGGGAGTTCTTAATGCAGAACTCAGAACAATTTATGCCAATAGTATACGCTCAGGTATCTGAAGCATACATAAGTTGAGAATGGAACTCTACCCACTTGAGAACAAGAGCATCCGGCTAGGGATGTAGCTCAGTTGGTGGAGTTCCTCATGAAGCCATAGGCTCAGTCCCTTGCACCACCACGTAAACCTGGTGTGGTCATACATGCCCGCAATCCCAGCACACAGGAGGGTGAAGCTGGAGGAGCAGGAGTTTAAGGTCATTCTTGGCTACTTAAAGAGACTTTGAAGTCAGCCTGAGCTATAAGACCCTGTGTGGGGGTGAGGGGTGGAGCGTTGGATCTTTAGTGACTGGCTTACAGAATAAAATGGGAAAAGAGGAAAATGGCATTACAGACACCTGGCAGAAGCCCCTCAGCCTCATGGTCAAGGAGACTATCACAACACACGTCCTTGCTTTGATGAGACAGTTTAGAGACAAATCCCACACTGGAGAGGCTAAGGCTAGCCTGGGTTACACAGTGACATCCTATCTACCCTACTGAGGCACATTCTACAGTGCAGCTGACCTCTAAACTGTCATCAGAAACATTTAGGAAACTGTCTGAGCCTACAGACATCGAAGGAAACATGACAACTAACTGTAAAAGAATATCCTGCCTGGGATGCTGGGAAAAAGGACACAGTAGAATCTAATAACATCCAAATAAAGTATGAAATTCAGTTCCTAATGTACCATTATCTCATCAGCTATGGTAAACATACAGCATCTGGATGTTAACAGAGCTGGGGCTGGCGTGCCTTTGCTCCTCCTCTGGAACTCTGAAATTCTAAAATTAAAAGGATTGCTTTGGTTTGGGTACTGAGGCTTGAACCCAGGGCTCCCCCACACCAGGCAAGTACTCCATACCACTGAGCCACAGCTCGCTGCGTGCCTGGCTTCCTCACTGTGCTCTCTTTCATTACAGGGTGCTGGTGACAGTTTCGTGGGGGCTCTGGCCTTCTACCTGGCTTACTACCCAAGTTTGTCCTTGGAAGAAATGCTCAAGAGATCAAATTTCATTGCCACAATCAGCGTCCAGGCTGCAGGAACACAGGCCTCTTATCCATACAAAAAAGACCTTCCTCTTGCTCTATTCTGATTGCTACCAACCCCAAATAAATAAAACCTGGAAATAAGATGCATGTGGGTGTGGCCACTCAGCTCACAATGACTAGAAAAATGCCCTTTCTTTGTAAATACTATGTTCACTTATGAAATTATCAAGCCTTCGGCTCAGTGATGCTTTTTCTCACATTCACATCAACTAGAATTCGATTCCACCATCAGAATCGGTACAAGCAGTACCAGCAAATTCTAACATTGAACACATGCTGGATAGCAGTGTTTAGAGACCGAGCAAAGAATGTTCCAAAGGCAAAGGGACAGCAGTGGGCTCTCCCAAGCACCTTCTGGAGAGTAGCCTATGTTGTCAAACTTGCTTTGGGGGCTGGGGATGTGACTGAATGGCTCTCCCCACTTTGCATGCATTTTAGGGTTAGAGGGGTAGACTGGTAGAGTGTTTGCCTAGTATGCATGACACCCCGGGCTTCATCACTGCCTAACTCGTGCGTGGTGGCACACGCCTGTAATCCCAGCACCTGGGAGGTGGAGACAGGAGCGTCAGGAGTTCAAGATAGCCTCTGATACATAGCAAATTTGAGACACCCCAGACCACAAGAAACCCTGTCTCAGAAAGGAAATAGATGGCCCAATGCTAGAGATGCTTGCCACCTGGCCTGGTGGCCTGAGTTTGAGTCTTGGGATCCGTACAGTAGTGGAGAGACAACTCCTGGTGAGTTGTCTTGTTTACACTTTGCAGGAGTTGCTTGTTTCCCTCCAGTGTCACAGACTGGAGCTTGAGACACACACTTGCTATTTGGGGACAGCGCTGGTTCCTGATGCTTGTGGCTAGGGGACTCCCATTTTCTCAGGTATTTTAAATGAAGTAGGATATGGGCTGGCAATTCTTTAAAAAGCTCATCTTTCACTTCAAGCCAGAAATCTGAAACAAAAACAATGGTGGGAAACAGCCTGAGTAAGAAAGGGGATGAGGAGGCGAGGCAGCAGTCGTATGTGGCAGCCATATATGAACACAAGGGCTATCAGAGTTGGCTATGTAATATCACCATGCCCCCAAAGCAGCCGTATGATATAGCTTCTTGTAAAAGAAAGATTCCATCAAGTCCACCGCTGTCCTAAGAGTCTGTGGCCCCTCTGAACTGCCAGCCTAAACTACTGTGAGAGCTTGTCTCAAACCTCACACCACAAGCAACCAGACTCAGGGCTCTGCCGAGCCATTTGAGAATACAGACAATGGCACTGCTCCCAATGACCCAGGCACAAACCAAAGAGGATGTTCGTTTCTCTCCTTCTTCCAGCTGCTTGCTGTCCGGTTGTCACAGGGCGACTGCTCCAGCACTACCTGGTGGACTGTCTTATGGAGGGACAAGGAGCAGCCTAGGATCCCCTGCTCAAGTCTCACTATGGAAAATAGCTTCTCTCATGTGAGAGAATAGTTATCTCTTGGTAAGGTAGTTGGTCTTTAAGTTTCAAATAGTAGGGGAAAATATCACCAAGAGACAAAAGCAGGCTATTTCGACTTTTTTTATTAATGCCTATCTAAAAAAATCCAGAGAGATAACTATCTGGTCTCTGTGAAGAACTTCCTTTCACGGCACTGTTCCTTCACGACAGCCTTCCCCTCACCGCGGCCATGCTGTGCGCTTCCTCTTCATACACACTGTAGGTTTCTGAGCCAGTACCTCAGCCTGAGTCTTCTCATTCATGAATCAAATTCATTTTCAATCCACTGCTTAGAGGGAGCGTATTTTTTTCTGTTCCACGAAGAGAACTTTTTTGTTCACTGTGAGGGAAGAGAAAGGATTGCAGCAGAAAAGGTCATTATTTTATCAACACACACCATGCCCTGAGCACTCTCCTTTCCCCTTGTGTTTCTATAGTACCCTCTGACATGAGGATGAGCTGATTTGAAAACCCAGCTCCTCAATCGCAGGACAAGACGGAGAGAAACCGGGAAGAGGTCAAGGGAAGGCTACCAGCCAATCAGCACTGTCCTTGACAGGCTACAAAGTCATGATCTCAGTCAACCTGAGATACTGGGGAAAACATGGCCAACCCTGACCTGGGCTCCACTCTCATAGAGGGTAAACAAGAACCGACAGGACACAGGGCTCCAGAATAGTCCACAGAGGACTGGTAGCCAGAAGGGAGAGCAAATACCACAGCACCTCTGCTGTCTTCCTATTGGCTTCACACCCAAGTAGGAATGGTTCAGATGGACAACGCAGCAATATAGCAAAACCTCAATACTACAAAGGTACTGGGTACAGTTCCCAAAACAAAAGTGCTACTGCCTTAGTGAGAGACAGGAGCTAGATGTTGGGAAAGGAGGCTGTTAAAGAGCCCATGTCCTATAATCCACCACCAGCCCCCAGCCAACCCCACTATACATGCACACACACACACACACACACACACACACACACACACACACCCCACACACATACCACACGCACACAACATACACACACACACCAAACCCCACACACATACCACACGCACACAACACACACACACAACACACACACACACACCCCCCTAACTACTAGACCTGATTCTTCTCTGCCATTAAAAACAAGACACCCAAAGGAAACCCAGGAGGCCAAAGTACAGTGTAACCTCACAATTCCTTACTGTCCCTGACCACGCAGACATTTCAACTTTGTGTTCTCTTCTTCTACAATGAAAATGGATACATTCCTTACTAAATTTTCAAACCATGAGTAAGAATTAGCAAAAGAGTTTCTTTAAAATATATTGCTGTAGCTTGAAGAGAGGCTCAGTGGCTATGAGCACTGCCTTTCCAAAGGACCCAGGTTCGATTCCCAGCACCCACATGCTGGCTAACAAGCATCCATAACTCCAGTTCAAGGGGATGTGATGTCCTCTTGCAGCCTCTGCAAGCACTAGGTACACTTGTGTTACACAGACATACGGTAGCCAAATCAGATGAAAAAGAATGCAAACAAAGTATCTAAATACATTGCATTTCTCAAACCTCTATCCTAATTCCAATTCAGCAGCAGGAATTCCAATATTTTTTAAAATTCTCTAGGCAGCTGAATTTAAGAACCATTAACCAGTCAAGAAAAATGTATCACTAAATTAGTAAAATACAGACATTATATAAGGGGTACTGTTCACTTATTTTTGATCATTTAAAACATGAGAGAGAGGGGTGTTGGTTGCACATGCCTTTAATCCCAGCACTCGGGAGGCAGTAGTTGGAGGCCAGCCTGGTCTACAGAGTGAGTTCCAGGACAGCCTCCAAAGCCACAGAGAAACCGTCTCAAAAAACCAAAAAAAGAAAAAAAGAAAAAAAAAAAGAAAGGGTTTCTTAAGCAAACAGAGACCAACACAGAAAATCACAACAGGACACATCACAGACAGCAACAGATCTTGGGGCGCCCAGCCCCAACAGATACAGGGGACATCATAGAAGAGGGGACAGAAAGACTGTCAGAGCCAGAATACCAAGAAGTCTGAGGTGAAACAGTTTCCTAGAAATGGCTGCATAAGCAAGGCTGAACAACAGCAGTATCAATAGACATGTTACCATGAAGGGGAAAGTTCATGGGGTCTCATCCCCAGACAAAGAACTACACAGTTAATGACTGCCGTGAGAATTAGTATCTCCCAAGGAAGAGCTCCTCATACATACATACGTACGTACGTACGTATGTACATACATGCATTTACACATACATACATGCATGCATGCATGCATTCATTCATACACACATATGCATGTAATAGTAATAAAAAGAGGCTATTGGCGTGTTGGCTTGGAGGAGACACCAGGGGTTTGATGGAGGGTGGCTGAGAGGCGTTGGAGGGAGAAGGGAAGTGATACAATTTTATTTCAATTAAAAATTTTTTTTCAATACAAAAGCAAAGAGTCTTTTATTGTTGTTTAATGACAAATGTTTAACCCCATTTACTCAGGCCCTTCGTCCATTCATCGTGGTGGATGTTTGGAAATGGACCCAAGGGGCTGCCAGGTGGGGAATATATTGGATAGAGCAAGGAGAGAGTCTAGGGGTATGCAACAGTCTCAGGATTGGTGCTCTTCCTGGCTTGGACAAGCTTTTCTGTGTTGATTGGTCAACTGGTTGTTATGGCCCATAGACCTTCCCAGGGCGGTTGCTATGCTCTGCATGCCACTGTTAAAATGTATTTTTTTAAAAAGTATTAGGAAGATAAAATTGGCCCCATGTACTAGAAACAGCCAGAAGAGCTGGGATCTAATAACCCTGACTCCAGGAACTAGGGATGTAGTACAATATTAAAGCTTGCTTGCACAAAGTCGTGGGTCAAAACCCAGCTGGGGAAGGGAGGAGTATGGCTCCAATTGTCCATCCACCCCAAGCCCCTAGGCAAGCATCAAAACCCTCTCCTCTCAGTTCCCTTCCTGATGTGAAAGACAGCCCCATCTCCTCAGAGCTGTTGCCCGGTAAACAGTGTGCACTCATGTGAGCTGAGCTGAAACGACACACTGCTATCCATAACTCTAAACATAATGTACTTTTCAGTCAAAATATTTGCTGTTTAGTTCATAGAAGAATGAATCTGTCAAGTTCTTTCCCTAAAGCTAACCGAAATCTATTCTGTTCCAATTACAGTCTGTATTGCCTTGTTTAGTGATCCACAGAATTAAAACTGACAAGTTTTCATTCCCCTCATGACAAAGTTTAATACTCTTATGCCTCAGCCTTTAATCTGTCCTCCTTGGCATCTAGTTTTATATGAGGAAAGGAGTCTAAAGACAGAGGTGGGGGCTGGAGAGATGGCTCAGGGATTAAGAGTACTTGTCAAGAGGACCCAGGTTCACTTCCCAGCAACCCACGTGGTGGTGCACAAGCATCCAAGACTCGGGGAACCTGCTGCCCTTTCTGACCTCCAAACACGCACAGTACACACACACACAACACACACACAGTACACACACACACAACACACACACAGTACACACACACACAATACACACACAGTACACACACACAGCACACACACACAGTACACATACAATATACACACATTCAGTACACACACACAATACACACACATTCAGATGGAACACTCACAAATAAAATGAATTGTATGTGTGTTTAATTTGTATATATGTACATATGTGTGTGTATGTATGTATGTATGTATGTATGCATGCATGTATGAAAGAGACAAACTTCTTCACTCAGTAATTTTTCTACCATATAAGGAATATTCCTGAAATTCAGAGTTCTAGTTTTCAGGTCTAGCTAACACTAGAATTCCCTTTTTATTATAATAATAAATGGCAAGAAATACGATTACCATAAAAACAGCAGGGAATTTTCTTTCTATCACGGAGTGGAACTTGAGCATTTTAAGCTGACAATTGGGCTAGAGGGTTTTGTTGTGGGATGTTTGTACACTATGTGAAGATGTACTGCTGTGATTGGTGTAATAAAAAGCTGAGCGGCCAATAGCTGGGAAGGAGATAGGCGGGACTTCCAGGCAGAGACAGATCTGTGGAAGAGGAAAGGCGGAGTCGCCAGTCAGTGCAGAGGAAGCAGGATGGGCAGTGTGGAGAGATGAGGTATCAAGCCAGAGACAGAATGTAGACTTTAAAATATGGGTTAATTTAAGTTATGAGAACTAGACAGGAACAAGCCTAAGCTAAGGCCCAGCTTTCATAATTAATAAGTCTCCATGTCATTATTTGTGAGCTGGCGGCCCAAAGAGAAATCCATCTATAGTTTTTAACCTCTTCATACTAATACATCCTTTATCTTATTAAAAGGCAATTAAGGAGGGTAAAAGGATTAAACAAAAGCCCAAAAGTCTAAAAGAAAACATTTGTCCGTTTATTTTGCATAAGCCAGCACATCAAATTCAGAAAAGGGTGGGCTTCTACCAACAGTGGCTGGATTTGTGAGTGGACAATCTAGCCTTTGGAACGTAACTCTCTTTTTATTGCATTTATTTACTGTGAGCATATGGGGGGCACATGTATGCCATGGCAGGTACGTATAGGTCACAGAACAACCCGCAATTCATTATTCTCTCCTCCTACTCTGTGGGCCGCAGTGATGGAGCTCAGGTCACCTGGCCTGGCGGCCTCAAGCAGCTGAGCCACCCCATCAGCCAACATTTGTCTCTTTTAGACAATTCAAAGGCACCATGGGTTATGACATTTTTGGTAGACGGCACAATTAAAAAAAAAAAACAAGTTTTCTGCCCCAATGTACCAACATATACTCATTTATACCTGAAGCTTGTAACTGGCCCCTGTCAGATCCCCTCCCCTTCGCAGAGAGCTACTGCCTCTATTCTTTGCATGGCTGACTTCCTACCTTTATGAACTAAGCTTCCTAGAGACTGCCTGGCCATCCCAGCTCGAGTGCCTCTCCCAACACCCCCAGAGGCTACATCCCAGCACCCCAGTGACCCTCAAGCACCTACTCATCACACTTCTTCCCTTTCCCTCCCAAACCAACTGCAAATGCCAAGAGCGGAGGCTGAGTCTTGTGTGCCGGTACACCTGAACCTGGCACGGCAGCTAGCTAGTGCCATAATAAACACGGAGAATGAATGTCATGATCCCAAAGGGCTCACAAAATCACCAAAGGCATTCATTCGAGAAAGGAGTCAGAAGGCCCTGAAAGCTTTTGCCCTGCTGTGACATCACTGCCCTGCTGTGACATCACTCCCCGCTGTGACATCACTCCTCTGAGTCTTACCAATTGGATCATAATGCAGAAGGGTCAGCTTCTCTCGCAGTCGGTTTCTCTTGTGGTTGAAGGAGAAACCTGTCCCAGCTTGGCTCACCAGTCTCACCAGAATGGTTCTAAGATCAAAAAGTACACTATTACAAGCTGAGGAAACACACTAGGCCACCAAGAATACACAGCACACTGTGCAAATCTTATAGAGTCATAGTAGTTATGATTATTACTCAGCCCTAAAAAGAGTCCATGCTACCCTAAACAATGGCTGAGAGGTTAGCATGGGACTGATCCAGACCCCCTGAATATGGGTGTCAGTGAGGAGGCCTAGGCAATCTATGGGGCCTTGGGTAGTAGATCAGTATTTATCCCTGGCATACAAATCCCACAATGAGGTCTGCTCTCTCAGCCTGGACATTTGGGGGAGGGCCTAGGCCCTGCCCAAACGAAATGATAGACTCTGGAGATGCTCCATGGAGGGCATCACTCTCCCTGGGAAACAGAGTGGGGATTGGGTGGGGGGGCTAGAGAGGCTGGTAGGGAGGCGGGGAGGAGGGGAGGGAGAGGGAGCTGGGATTGACATGTGACACAGCTTGTTTCTAATTTAAATTTTAAAAATAAAAAAAAGACTGCTATGACAGTCTGTATCTCCCATAAAGCAATTTCAGTGTCTTTGGATCCTAAGGTAGTCACCTACAGGGACCTGGTAACGACCTCTCCAAACAGCAGGAGTGATCAAGCCAAGTCAGAGCAATAGCCTCTGATGCCACTCCCACAGGAGCAGGTCAAGCGGAAGAATATACAAGAGAAGGTAGTCCCAGCTGGCCTGTGGGCAACCTTGAAGATGGTTGCCTCAAGAACCCCATTCTTCCCAAATGACTGACAGCAGTACAATTGGGAAGGGACAAAACTACAAGAGCTGAAGTTTTATACCATTAACGTACGAGCCCAGGGCACCTTTACATTTCATTTAAATTAGTCATCTGAACCACAGAACGTATTGTTTGCCTCCCTGCACCTGTGCACACCTGTACCGCTACCCTGTCACATGTGTGCGTCATCTTCGTCACCCCACAGAAGACAGGATTTCCCATGCCATTCCCAAACAAATCTGAAGTATTTAAGACCACGTTACAACCAGGCATGGTAGCTCATCCTATAATCCAGCACTCTGAAGCTCAGACAGGACTGCTGTTAGCTGAAGAACAACATGGGACTACAGAATGAGATCCTGTCTCGAAACACAAAATAAAGCCCAAAGACCAGTATTTGTTGATAAATTAAGAAAGACAATGATGCCAGGTCTGGTGGTGCAAACCAATAACCTTAACCATTCCGGAACCTGGAGCAGGAAGTTCACAAGTTCCCTGTCAGCCTGGGCAACTCAGTCAGGCTTTGTCTGAAAACTCAGAAAAATAAACAAACAAATAAAAAGAGGGCTGGGCAGAATTCAGTAAGAGAGCATTTGCCCAGCATGCTTTGGCCCTAGAACCAATCCCCAGTACTTGGGGAAAGGGGTACATAATTATCCATTTATTCATAAAGTTCCAACAAATCTCTATGGGGTTCTTACAGAGCTAAGAACCCCTTCGAGAAGCATAAAACTGAGCCTCATCTTCTAGGGGCTAAAACTATGGTACAGAAGATGAACAGGCACACAGGGAAAGGCAATGCATGTTTCTACCCTCTAGTCCAGCCTCCTAATGTTAGCTACACAATTTCTCTAGTGCGCAGACTGATTCTGAGGAAACGGAATTCTGGCGGTGATCCAAACAGAGCGACGTGTTTAGGTACAAAACAGTAAATTGATAAACCCTGAGATGAGAAAAGAGGTCAAAGCCCCTGTAAACAAAGGCCGCCAATACTCGCTGAGTTACTCAGTGGGACCACAGGGAAACGGGACGGTCCTCCAACTACGGTTTTCAATTTTATCTCAGTGCGAATGAGACACTTTGGAAGAGGCCAGGTTTCCAACTGTGCTCTTTTCCTGGGCCAGTAATGGGTACTTTTGGGAGATGCTGGGCAGCAGGGACCACAGCTGCCTATCACCACACTCTTGTAAGAGGAGGCAGCCAATTATGCACAGGTACTGAGGTGCTAAGCTGTGTGGTGTTCTGTGGTTTAGGTACCTTTAAATGCATTTTCTGTTTATGTATCTGCAACCTGAGGCAGGGTTAGCAAATATTTATCACCACCATCAAGTCAAGATGCATCTGTATTTCTTTTTTCAAGGCGTTCACACCCACAAAATAATTAACCAAATAAATAAACCCACATCAACTTTCAGGAAATCAAAACCAAACACTGCTTTGAGAGACAGATACACTGGCAGCTGGCTAGACTACCAACCCCAATAGAAACATGCAAAGTTTAAATAAAACACTCTTACTTACTTTGACTTGCTCTTGGCAACTTTGTGTAAAGGTTGAAAAAGAAAGACAAAAAGATACATTTATTAATGTTATGCAAAGTGCTTATAAACACCAGTAGTAACCCAAAACATTTATGAAATATGTCATATTTATCCTAAAGTAACTTCCCTGGGTACTAGAAAGTGATCAAACCAACAAAATTTTGAATTTTTTTTGACAATCCATGCAGCTGACTGGCACCTTAAAATCTTTCTAAAGTAGTATGTGCTTTCACCTTTCTTTGGTGCAAATATTTAGAAATATGTCATGTTTACCATAAAGTAACTTTCCTGGATGTTAGAGAGTAGTAATCAAACGAAGAAAATTTTGAACGCTTATTTTTTTTGACAATCCATGCAGTTGGCTGGCACCTTAAAATCTTTCTAAATTAATATGTGCTCTACTTTCACCCTTCCATGGTGCAAACACTTGCACTGTAACAAGCCTCTTGCTTTGACAAGTGAGCTTTGCAAACCGCAACGAAGTCACGTGAGGTGGGAACGCACTCTAATCCGGAAGTCGGCGAGGAGCCGGAGGTCGGGGTAACGCACTGCGGCCGCGGGTCCAGGGACTCTCCGACCCCCCTCGGGAGGGCAGCGGAGCCCCAACCCGGGAGACAGCTTCCCCGCCTGGCCCTCCGCCCCGCCCGGCCCCACCTCGGGACCCGGCCGCCGCCGCCGCCTCAGACCCCACTTACAGGAGACGGCGGAAAGCAGCATGGCGTCAACCCCAGTGATCTATCCGCCACCGGCCGAAGAAGCTGAGCAACTGCTTCCGGGGCATGAGCCGGTTCCGGCAGAGGGCTCAGAAAGTTGACAGAAGCCACGCCCCCTCCTGGAGGCCCGTAAATTCTCTGACCCCGTGCTTTATTGGCAGTGAGTCTTGTGGTATTATGGGATGGACCCTCCTCCATGCAAAAGATAAAACTGCCTGATATCGTAAACTCCAGATCTGCCTGGCTCCAAAGCCTGGTGCCTTCCCGTTAGACTCTGATCTGTTTGGCCGTCAATTCTTTTATGCCTGTGTACAGAGCCCTACCTCATCGCTAACTTCATCTCCCAACTAATAGTCAGGACTTTATCATTTTTGCTGCTGTTATTTTTTCTTAATTTTGTGTGTTTACAATAATTCTCCCTATTTTATTTTTTAATTTGTCCCTCGATTGGTTTATTTTTGTGTGTCTGGGTGTTGTGTTTGCATTCGTGTTTGTGCACCACAAGTGTGCCTGGTAGCTGCGTTCGGAAGGCTGCACAGGATCCCCTGGAGCTGGAGTGTGAGCCGCCATGTGGGAGCTGGGACCCACACCCAGGTCCTCTGCAAGAGCAGCCAGTACTCTTGTCGGCCAAGCCATCTCTCCAGCCCCGTTTTGTGGTTGTTGACTTGAGTGATCTTCCCAGTAACCCTGTTAAACCCATAACAGAATTCCCACTTCCACGTGAGGAATCTGAGGATGAGTGTGATTAACGTGCCCAGTGTTGTTCAAGTAGAGAGTGGGAAGCCTTGGTCTTGAACACACTTCTTCAGAATCCAGAGGTTATAGTTTTAAATTTTCAAGTGTGGTAGGCATGTATCGAGTGCAAGTCTAACCAAATCAGAGCTCCAGGTTCAGTAAAGACCCTGTCTCTAAACAAACAAACAATTAGGAAATAGGGTGGAGAGGAAGGGGCCTCGCATTGACCCCCGGCCTCCACTGCACATGTACACACACGTACGACCCACAGACACAAAAGAGATACCATGGGATCTGTCTCGAATTCTTGAATGGAGCATGAAGGGAGCAATGGCTTTCTCCTCCCGTTAGCTATACTTACCTGTTATCTATACTTAAGATATTGTTGGCAGCTGGGGAGTTGAGTAAGAAAACGGTTACTAATCCAGATGTAATTCATGATTTGCTTTTTCTTTTCCACCTCAACGTAACATACTGAGCCCTCTATACCGTAAAAAGTGCAGAACAGGAAAAGCGCCCTGACATCCCAGAAGGAGATGAAGCACAGCCTCTTTGGGAGCAGGCGTGGTTATGGGAGGGGAGGACGCCATTGTTGAGCCTGGATCTCAACGCAGAGAAGCAGATGGAGGAAGTGAGAATCCACAGTGTCCTAGGTTAAACAAAGCACCTGCCTCATGTTGGTGAACACTCTATTCCCAGCACTTAGTGATGGGATTCAAACCTCTTTCTCTATGCGGGGAGGGCCCCGACTGCACACCGTCCTGCCCGCTGTCACACATATGCCCTGTCTCACTCGCAGTTGGGACATAGAGCTATCAGAGCTATCGTTGTTGACCATAAGGTCGGTGAGGTTGGCTCCCTAACCTATCCCACAGTTCAGGGAACATGGGTACTAGTGGAAGGGAGATCACAGGAGAAAGTTAAGTTTCCTGAAAAGAGATGATATCTGCTCAGTTGCCTCCAAGCAGACCCAGGCATTTTCAAAATCAGGTCTTCTGCCCCAACAACTTTCTATTAGAGCAAAGGATGCCTTGGAGAGTAAGGCTGAAAGGTGAGGGTATGCACTGGTCAGTCTACGTGGACTGGGTGTCCTCGGGTTGGTAGTCAACACATGGCCACTATCTGATGCTGACATCACGACTCAGCCCACACCCCTTCGCCAAGGTCCGCTGTGGCTCAATACCATTAGAAAGTAGTTGACCTGTGTGCCCCATCTCACCAAACACTTGCTCCCTCTGTCCCCTCAGAGTAGCTAGTAGGCTTCTCTGCAGTCTTTGAATCACTGGCCTTCCCCAAACCCAAAACAACCCAAAATGGAACCTAGAGTCCAGTTTGTGGTGGCCAGCTACTTAGGAGCATTCGGCATGCTTTGGAGTATGGTTGATATATACCCAGTGTCACTGCATGGAAGAAAACTTATTTTTCTGTTTCCCAGCAGCTGTCAATTGAAATAACTTCTTGGTTAGGGCTGGGGTTTTATGCCTGCTTCCCCTTCTCCTGGATACTATGACTGTAAGCACAAGACCTGTACAAGTTCGAGCCACACAAAATCTCTCCCAGTTTTTAAACTCCCTAGAAGGTTCTGAGGTGCAGCCAAAATTGAAACTACTAAGTGGGATCTGTGAATTCCAGGTGAGCTAGTAGGCCCCAAGTTACAGGTGAGTCTATCTCATTCATTTTGCCTAATGAGCCGCCCTTACCTGCGTAGGCAGAGGGGAGAAAGTGGCCAACTTGAAGGAAACAAAAATAAGTAAGTCTTGAGTTATAAGCATAGGGAAAGGTGCTCGCCTACATTCCAGAAAGCTCTAGGACACCTAACAGAGACCCAAGACTGAAGACCAAAGCCAGGAAGTTCAGTGCTACCAGGAAGATTACTGGAGGTCCTGCGGACAACACCCTTCCCTACCACGTAGCTTACCTTCCACAAGAAGAGCTAGAATGGTCTCAAGTACATCAGCACATTTGGGCCGATCAGTGGGTGGTGGGTGCTGAAGTAAAGGGTGTGGAAGTTTAGGGGGAGTGGGCGGAACCCATGTGGAGGAGGCAAAGGGCAGGAACTGGCCGAAGACGGGCATTCCTACCGAGGGTGGGAAGCTGGGCTGCCGCGCAGCTGCTGCAGAAGCAGCTGATGAAAAAGAGGCTACCCACAAAGCCAGCCGAGTCTGCCTTTCACTGCCAGCCCTGTGACGCCCAGACCACACATGTCCGAGGGGCAGGAAGTGTAGTGAGGTTTTTTGATGTTGCTTTCTCTCCTTTGGTGTCTTGCTTAGTTGGCTGATTGTTTGATTCATTGGATTGATTGATGATTGAAGGATTGATTGATTTTTTGAGACGGAGTCTCACTAGGTATCTTTGATTGGCTTGGGGCTCTCTCTGTAAAGATCAGGCTGGCCTTGAACTCACAGAGATCCTCCTGCTTATGCTAAACAGTACTGGACTTACAAAGCCATCTCACAGGCCCAGTTTGACAGGGTTTGGGCTTTTGTTAGTTTGTTTTTTGTTGTTTGGGCTTTTGTTGGTTTTGTTTTCTGGTCTGGAGCAATCCAAGTAGGCTAGATTGGCTGGCTAGCAAGCACCAGGGATGCCCCTGTCTCCGACTCCCCAGCTCAGGGCTTACAAGTGCACACCAGCATGTATGCTGCATTTCATATGGTTCCCGCTGCCTACCTCCTGGAAGTGGTCCAGCCTCAAGGTGCCAATTCCATTTGAGAAGATTAAAACTGGGCTCCAATTCTCAGCTCTCCCAACTGCTTTCCTAGGGAGATCTCTGAACTTCTGATTCTACTGCTCCCACCTCCCCCAGTGCTAGGATTAGAAGCTGACTCCCAATTTAGTCAGCCTCAGTTTGTAATGGGGTTTATATGATACATCAGTGGAGCCCAGGACCCCCGTTGACCGTCACCAGATGAGTTCTGCCGCCTTCTCCATGGTAAAGTTCCATGAACTTTGGAACGCATCCTCCCAACGCTGTCAACCCTGATACCCAGCTGAATCATTTAGGGTTCCCATCACCAGATAACATGCATCCATGGATGGAGAATGGGGCCAGGGGACACTTCATAATGCTCTCCGGGTCCTTATGTGCTGCATATAACTTGCCAATGGTCACCCTAGATCAGGGTGACTCAGCACCAGGGTCAATTCTGAGCCAGTGGAATGAAGTGAGGCCCGAGATTCTGCCTCTCTAATGGGGGATCGGACACTGTGGATGCTATTGGCTGTGCACTGTTACTACTCCAGGTATGATCAGCCAGAATCCCCAACAGCAGCATTGGAGAGCTAGCTAGCAATGCAGACTTCAGACTTCAGGGCCCATTGCTGCCTTCCTGAATCACAGTCTGCATTTTAACAAGATCCCAAGGTGAACAAAAAGCACTGAGGCAATGAGTGACTTGCTGGTCAGATAACAAAGGCTGGGGTCCTCTCTGTTTTAGGTACTACTCTATTTGTGGGCCTGACACAGTGGCTGATATGCAACAGCTGCTCAGTGAACACTTACTAAGTGAATGGACAAGCTAAGGGTCAGTTTTAAGTGCCAGACATGAGGCCACTATGGGGCCAGTCACCAAGAAGTTAAGAAGATGAAGTTAACTTCCAAGGCAAAAGTCTTTCTGGTCTTCTGCCTAAGGCAAGACTGGTCCTTTTTTTTTTTTTTTTTTTTTTTTTTTGGTTTTTTGAGACAGGGTTTCTCTGTGGCTTTGGAGGCTGTCCTGGAACTCGCTTGGTAGTCCAGGCTGGTCTCGAACTTACAGAGATCCGCCTGCCTCTGCCTCCCGAGTGCGCCACCAACGCCCGGCCAAGACTGGTCCTAATGTTGACACAGAAAGGGACTCATAGCCATATGGGGCAAGAGCATATTAAACTGTCTCATCTGTGGAGGGCAAGAGGGTAGCCATGAAGAAAACAGTCCAACAGGAAGGTCTGATGGACGGGCCAGAGGCTAAGCCTGAAGAGCAGGAAGTCCTGTGGCCTCATCTCATCCAAAGACTGGTTCCGTGGAACCTCCTCAAATGTGCTTGCAGTAGTTAGAAGAGAATACACTTGCCCTCGGCGCTAGTGTCTCTCTGTTTTACATTTGGATTAGACATGGAGGCCTGGATATGTTGTTCATTTTAGACGACTTGCCTAGAATCCCACGTAAACCAGGATGTAGGCGGATATTTTCTGTCCTGAGGCTGCTCTCAAATAAACACAGTAAGGCTTACATTAATTACAGATGCTGGGATAGTAGCTCGTGCATATTGCTAGCTAGCTCTTACTTTTTTATTTTGTTTTGTTTTGTTGTTTTTCGAGACAGGGTTTCTCTGTGGCTTTGGAGGCTGTCCTGGAACTAGCTCTTG